GGCGCCGCACTCACAGCCCGGCTCGGCCGGGCCCTGCAGCGGCTCCGGGCCCAGAGACGGCGCATGCGCAGCCCAGGTGGCGCTGCCCGGCCGAGGGCACTGCGCATGCGCTCGCGGCCCTGCACCTTGGCGCGCAGGCGCAGTTGTGGCCCGACGGGAGCGGAGCCCGGGCTTGGGCTGCCGGGGAATGTGGGTGACTGGCGCCGGGGGCGTGTGTCCTAACGTCACGGAGCGAAGAGGACGCAGAAACAACGTCACGGCAGGGGGGTGGGGAGGGAGTGTCGCCTCTGCCCTCCCCGCCCCCGCCGTGTTTGCCCTGGCCGCAGCCTTGACCCGCCGTATCTGCGCTGTTTGTTCCCGAGCAGACATCCTGCCGGCCCCGCGCGCGTTACTCATTTGCTCCCGGCGGCCTTGGGATGGCTGTCCTCGGGGCAGCCCGCCCCGCACGAAGCAGCGCGGACCCGTGCCTCGTTCGGCCCGGTTCGGACACTGGCGGCCGCGGGGCCGGTGCTCGCCGTCTCCTCTCGCAGACCGGCGTTGGGCTGCTTTGCCTTGCGCTGCGCAGAGCTGGAGACGATGGTTGTAGGGGCCGAGTCGGGAGCCGCTGTCCGGCCGGGTCCAGGTCACCCTTGGGCGCGCACGTCGCAGCTGGCCTGGGGCGGCCCGGGCAGAGTCAGTCCTGCAAACTGTCCCGCCAGCTGGGCCGCGCGCGGCAGCTCTGCGGTGCACTCGAACGGCGCCCCGTGGTCTGCGTCTTGGTTCCCTGATACGCACTGGCACTCTTAGTTCCCCTCCCACTGGTGAGCGCAAAGGAGCGTGCAGTTTGTGTGTGGTCTGTTGCTCTGTTTCGTCTTGAGCGAGGAGATGCGCGCAGGCAAGTTCCCAGGTGCTGCCGTCTGCCAGCGGCACCGGTGCGATGGCCGCAGGGAGCAAGGAGGGGTGGGGGACTGAGCCCCACCTAGCGCTTATATTTTCTGCTGCAGACCTCGAGCTCTGCTGTGCATCCTTCTCGACCTGGAGTACCCACTGGTGTCAGGTTAGGCCTCTACGGCTTTCCCACGTCAGTTCCTCCTGGCCCACCGCGCCTGCTGCTGTTCGCATCCTGACCCAATCCAGTCTCTGCTGCACGAGTGTGGGAGCTCCTCTCCCAACACCCCTCATCACTCGTCTGCAGAGTAAGTTGAAGGGCAGAGGTGTCGTGGGCGCACAGATCAAAGCCCTGCCTAGTACCCAGTGTGAGGAAGTAATCCTCATTGAGCTCAAACATGCAGTATCTGAGGCTTAGGGAAGCTGAGTCCCACCGTCTACAGCTGCTGGAGCTGTGAGCTGTGTCCTGTATACAGTAGATACAATTATAGGAGCCAAAAAGAGTGTCAGTGCCAAGGTCTCCACGCGTGAGCCAGCTGAGGAGTAGGTCCAGCTGCACAGCCAGAAGCCCATCAGTAGGGCTACCATATTGCAGCAGGGGCACACCCCGAGTATCGCACACCACCGATTTGACTTGCCCCATCACTTGCAGCGCAGGCTTCAGGCCTGTCATTCTTCTGACGCTTGTCAGCCCTGGAGAAGGAGCTAGCCGAGGGAGGGCAGGGGAGCGCATCCCTGGCTTACGCTTTTTTTGGGAAGTAATGAATCCATGCAGAGGATTCTGACAGGCTGACACTCAGCAGCAGAAGCAGCCAGCATCTCCTGCAGGCCAGTTGGTGTTTTCTCATGTGCAAGGCTTGCTCTTTCCCCAGCAGACTTTTTAAAAACATGAATTTGTTAAATTAACCCCCCCCCCCCCCCCCCAA